GAGTAACGTCAGTTAGCAGGCGGGCCAAAGGCCAAAGCCGGGATGTTAGCGGCTGAGCGGCCAGGTGCAGAGGCTGCTGGGTAAAGAGAGAGCGGGTTGCGCCGGGCGGGGGCCGGCATAAGTGGGCACTATTCAAGCTGTCGCCCATTAGATGAGAGGGTGGGGGGGGGGGGCGTCACGGCCCGACCCAGAGTTTGCGGCGCCCCGCGGTGCCGTGCCGGCGACGTCCCGCGCCAGAAGCGCCAAATGCTGCTTTATGAGAGGAGCGGCGCAAATTGGAGTCAGATGGCGGACTTGGAGGAGACGCTCGCTCATACGGAGCCGTGTTTGGACAAAGAGCGACGAGCGCAATGACGCTTTTCCGATACTTTGCACAAAGTCACACCGACACGCGGCAACTTTGGGCTCGCTCGCAGGCGAGCGGTGGCACGGAATGCAAAGGACGGAAAGAGATCGGCCGACGGCCACTCCGCCAATGCGCAAAATGTGGCACTCATCCTGCATGGCTGCGTTTTTTTCCTCAACTTTTAAGAATTCAAACACAAAAAAAAAAAAAAAAAAATGCATCGCCCGTTTGAACACATTGTCGAAACCGACGCGATCGACAGCGGATACCAACCGCGCTACAACAAAGCCACGTGGAAAAAAGGCTTCTCATCATTCACTAAAAGGTCCAAATAAAACCAAGGCCCAAAACAACAACATTCCAACCAGTTAACAACAAAAAAAACCCATCTTCCCGATGCATTCTCCTCTACACACGATAAAGCTTCTGAAAACAGAACGAAAAGAGCCCGAAAGTGGCCCTCGGGCCTCCTTTGCGCCACGACGTCAACGATTGGCCGCTTCCCGTCCGGTTGACCTGCTTGCGATGGGGGCGTCGTTTGAATCAAGCGTTTGCGGCCGACTTCTTCTTCAGTTACAGGGGCACGGATCTTCGTCCCGATCGGCCAGCGTCTTTTTCCCTTTTGAGCATCACAATGACAAGACAAATTATTGGTACTCCGTATGGGCGAGCGCTGAAATGGAAGCACTCGCGCGTCTGAAAAACAACGGTGTCATTTGAAGGCCACGCCGGGCCGGCTGCGTTTCTCTCCTAAGAATGCTTCGCTATGGAACCGCGCGTGTCAATTCACGGCACCGAGCATCGATGAGCTACGAGTCCGAGACTCCCAATGAGCACCAAGTGTTCCTGCTAGCGCCGATTCCTTCCGGGTGGGCCGCGCGGCAGCCGTTGTTGACGGACGGCGTCGATTTACAACGCGTCAATATTCGTGGGCTCTGCCGCCAACGAGTGCGCGCGGCGGGCCCGGGCGGATCTCGCCGCCAAGCGCATGAAAAGAACACGACGGAAAGCGGCGCGGCCAAGTCAAGAGACGGCTTCGGCATCATTTATTGACGCCGCGTGGAACAAATTGCTTTGCCTTTGCTTTTGAGCGCGCCCGCGGGTCACGCCGACATATGACAGGCAGAGGCGGCCTGATGTAGCCCGCAGACCCGCTTCATCTGTCTCTCTCTCTCCTCCGTTGCGCGCCTGCCGCCCCTCCCGCTTCCCTGTAACTAAACTGGCCGCGTCTCCCTCCATCTGCTGGTTCTTCCTTCAGCGGCCGCGCACCTGTTCACACCTCCTCTCCTGTTGGCCACCTCCTCCCTTTCTCTTTCTCTCTCTCCATCCATGGCTCCCTCCCGCCTTCGCTCGCCACAGCGCTGCCAGCGCGGCTTGGCGCTCCGTCATTCAATCCATCTGTCGGAGAGTCAACTTTGTTTACGGCGGCGGCCCGAGCCTCTTTTCCTCCTCGAGGAGGCGCTGCCCCCCACCCCCCGGACCCCGCTCCCCCTTCCGACCGAGCCGCATCGCAATACCGAGCGCACTCTGGCACGAGCCCGCAAATGTGTTGAAGGCAGTTCAAAAGCGACTTGACTACGACGAGCCCCACCACACCGCCCCCCAAAAAAAGGCCTCGGAAGACTGGAAAATGATTTGAACGGCGATCATCCATCTATTTTCGATTTCGCCGATCCTCATTCGGGTCACAGGCGAGCCGAAACCCACCTCGGCCACACACCCCCGACCAAACCGGACCCTGGCCACACAGACAAGCGCCGACACTCGCGTTCACGCCGAGGGACAATTGACCGTCTTTGACGAACTTCACGTGCGACATGCGAAGGCCACGCAGGAGGGTCGAGCCCCCAACCGGGCCAATGAATTCCAGAAAGAAGGGCGTGACGCGGACATTTTCCCAGCGCCGCAATTGCCCCGTGGCGATGCATTTTCAAGCGGCGAGCGAGAGAAAGAGGGGGCGGCCGCTGCGCCTCATATGAAGAAAGACGTCTCGTGACGAAAGGTGGCGGAATGAAAAGGTCGGCGTAGCCTCGTGACGTCGCACGGCAGGTTCAGAGCGGCGCACGCGGCGAGGCGGCTCTGTCATCAACAAGATGGCTCGACCTCACTTGGAAAACGAAACCGAGTCGAGAAGCGGCGACGGCCTGGAGGCAAGACGAAAAGGGCCGCGAGCTTCCGCGGGCTCGCCACCGGTCCGCGGCTGCAAACGAGCCTCATTCCGGGTGGTCCAAACGTCTCCAAAGGCGGCGCGCGGCGGCACGGATGGCGCAGAGAAGGCGCGGGGGCCGCGAGGTTGGCTCGTGGGCGGCGCAGCAGAAGCGCACCCGCGTATGTAGGCCAGTGTCCCGGGGCACACTTGGCCGCTCGGAGAACAGTTGCCGCCGACAGATTTGCCTCCGCCTCGCCCGAGGTGCCCCGCTCCGAGTTCTGTCCATTTGACGTCGTCTCGCAAAGGACGAACAGATGACGGCGCTGTTTGGCTGACGATGGCGCGACGCTCCGGGAGGGGCGATGTTCTACCGCTTTGTCAACTCCAAAGTAGAACACGCTCCATCAAGGGGGGAAATCACTTGTACGCTTTGCAAGTCAAGTCCTGACTGATTTCGACTTCATTCATGGCGCAACAGGGCGCAGACAGAACAAAGTGCGCAAAATACAAGACTGCTCCCGGTTCGTGGCTTTTTTTTCGGGAGAGATGGCGGCAAGACGGCCGCGCGGCCAGTTCTGCTGGTTTCTCAAGAGGGCCTAGCGATTGCCGCTCTCACGCACCGACTCCCGCCTCGCCCGCGTGACCCGCGGTCTGAAGTGGCCCTCGTCAGCGGCCCTGCGGGCGTTGACGCGGCGCTTCCAAAAGCATTTTGTTGGCGGAAAAAGCACGTGACAAATGATCAAGAGAGTCGCAGACAGTAACGAAGACAGGAGGAGCGGGGTGAGGACGCGAGGGCACTCTGACGGCGAGAGGAGCGCCGCGAGGAGTCATCGCGAGGCCAACGGGCCCACCGCTGTCGACATCATAGCAGACCGCGGCTGGCCGAGAGCCCTCCCGGCCGCCCTATCCGTAACTGTCTGATTAGTTGTGCTAAGCAGCCCCTCCCCTGCCAACCGCGGCGCCATCTGCTACCCGACAACATGGCTGCCGACCAGACGAGCGCGCGCGCGCAGGCGCACAGCGAGGCCGATACTTGGCACGGCTCGGCCGCTGTCACACACACACACACACACACACACGCACGCATCAAAGCCGGCGCGCGCAGGTGTCGCCCAAAGGTATCAACACTTAAAGTTCACACAAAGGGAACACGCGCACATCGCTGCACTCGGCTCCCGAGAGTCGAGCGGCACGCCAGATGTCAATGAGCCACTCGCATGCGCTCAAAGAGGCCGCTTCCTTGTCTGCGACGCACCGCACTTATAGCAGCACCCGCGAAGGTGGGCGAACGACAAAACCGGCCCAACGCGAAGCCTTTTTCCTCCCTTGATATCGAAGCCGGCAAAGGCCCGAGTACTCAAAGTCTCCAACAGACGATGCGCTCGCGACGATGAGCTCGCGCGGAGAGTTCTTTTTCTCGTCTGGTCTTGTCTGGGCTGGCGAGCATTTTGCAACTGGGTTCAGATGTTGCAAATGTGGCCTCGTGCGTCTGTTGACAAATGACAGCACCGGTGTCGTCTTCCGGCGTGTGCGTTTGCGCCGCCGCTCTGTTTTGCCGGGCCGTGATTGGACAAGAGCCGCCCCGCCGAGTGCGCTCCGCAGCAGTTTTGTCGGTTGCGGATTTTGGCCGCGGCCCGCTTGGAGAGAGCCTCTGGCGGGACGCGACATCTGCTGCCTCCACCTTCCTCATTTACACTTCTCCGCCCTCTCACGCTCACCCGCGCCGCTCTCTCGTCTCCGCCTACGCAGACCTCGCCGCCGTGCCGCGACAGATGAGGCGGAGGAGCACGGGTTGGGGGGGGGGCAGCAGCAGCGTGACATGTTTAATGGAGTTTGGGGAAAGTTTCCTCCCGTCTCGCTGCGCGCTCAAGGTCGAGGGAAAAACACAGGGAGGAGCTCAGGCCCGCCATCTTACTCGTTCTGTCATCGGGCGTCCGCAAAATGATGCTCCCTACGACGTGGCTAGAAATGCACTTTCGGCGACCACATGAGGAGCCGTTTTATCAGAAGTGACTCAGCACACTGCTACAGGTACATCGGACGACATTTTGGAATATGGCGGAAAATATTGTACAGCAAATAAGTGGAAGTACGGTCACGCCCGTGTTTTCAGATATGAGCCTTTAGGAGGCGGGGCCCGTGAGGGCGGCGTGTGGTATCGCTGAGTGTGCGTGTGAGCTGCGGGGAAGGGCGGCAGCTTTTGCACGAGAGCGCTCGTTGGCGTCACGTGCTTTTAGCCTTCTCCCATCAATCATGACGAGGGCGGAAAAGCGCATGAGCGGCCGCGGCTCGCCTTTCTCACACGCGAGGGTATCACAGGAAGTATACGGTAAAAAGAAAAAGAAACAATGACTCACAAGCGCACCTTGCCCAGGTTAGCGAATGCTTCCAGATGACAGTTTGTCTGACTTGATCGGTTTGGGTGGGACCAGATGATACAATGTTATTTTGCATGACGAAGAGCATCGCGTCATGGCCACGGTATGAGGTACCGCATATGAAATGGAGACATTGGAGAAAAGCCAAGAAGTGAAGCAAATGTGCATGCTGAATGCGGAACGATTTTGAAAGAGCCCAAGACTAAACAACATGAACATCGAACATCATTTCAATGAAGACTTGTTCAAAATGTGGCTGGCCTACCCCGCCCGGTCAGTTTGTTTGTTTGCCAGGATCAAATCTCCACTCCTCCTGTTTCTACCGTTTACTTGCGTGGGCTACAAAACGCGTGAGACTTTGATGAAACAAATAGCTTTGACTCGCTTCCTACCCCCCCCCCCCAAAAAAAATTATGATTTGTTGAACAAAGTGTCGAATGAGTAAACTTGCTGATCTCCAAGCAAGCACGCTCATGATTATGCATTCCTGATTTCCCGGAGATGATGGACAACTGGGAGGGAGGGGCCTTGCAGACATTGTCCAAAAAATGGGAGCATGGACCGGACCGCCACCACGCACGTGCCTGGCTCGAGATGACCACTAGGGCCACTTTTCATTCGAGTCGCCTTCGGGAGCAACGACATGAAAAAGAGGAGGAGGAGGAGGAAAGAAGGGAGCAAACAATCAATCCAAACTTGGTAAAGCCCTGTGCTGGGATGGGGCCGCAGCATGCGCGTGTGCATGTGGATGTGAACAGAGTGACGGGGATTAGGACGGATCCCGGGCTGTCCAACTCACAGCTGGCTGATGATCCAATCCTGGAGCGCACCAGCCGCCGAGGGACTCCCGATTGCGTGTCCGTGTGTGCCCGTGTGTGCGCGTCGAGACGCGCGCTACCGCAAGCGCTGTGAATTTCATGTGCAGACAGAAACAAATACACTTTGCACGAATGAATCGGAACAGAAAGGCGGCGGGAATCCAAGAGGCGCCACAAGGCGGACCGGGTGAAAGCAAAGAGGCAATCGAAGAGCTCCTTTCCCTCTGTCGGGAGGGTCAAACGGGAGCCTCGCTTGCTGCACGCGGCCGACGCGACCGGACCCAAAAAGCGGACCGCGAGCCATGACCTTTGAAGGCCTGCAGGGGGACAGAAGGAGACACCCGACTGGAAGGGCAAAACCACGGCGACTGAGCTTGTTTCGTTTGGAACGGGCTGAGCCAACGGCGAGGACGGAGAAATGAGATCCAACACAAGAACAGGGGCATCAAAAGTCGCGTTTCCATTTCAAGGAACCGGACGGCGGGACCCCGACTTGCACATTGTATTGGGACCGAACGAATGCCCTTGGCGAGCTCAGAGGCCGGCCTTCATTGACTTCTTCGCCCTCAATCTGATGCGCCGCTCTCACGCCGCTTCTCAATTAGAATGATCTGATAGATTGAAATGCACGTGTACGTCTCAGGTTCAAAGTTTCTGATACCGCAGACAGTAACGAGATAAGAGCCCCTCGGCCACTGGCTTTCAACGCTAATGAGTAAAACGGAATCAGAATGGCCGCCTCCTCGGCCAAGTCAACAGCTGTCCGACAACACAGCGCGCATCTGCGGTGCCATAAAACGACACCGCGCGCGTGCGCGCGCACACACAAACACAGAGCGGCGTGACCGTTTGCGCCAGCGGTTACTCTGGACCGGCTCAATGGCTCTGCGCCGTTGTGCACAACCGCTTCGAAAACACACACGCAGAGTCTGAAACGCACGACGGCTCGCCAGCCGGCCGGCCAGTGTGCGTGTTCGCGCCGGCGGACAAATGACAGACAAACACACTTAAACACAGATCAGAGTGGACACACGCATACACACGGCCAGCACCGCGGGGCAGCACGGTCACATCTGTCGGAACAGGAGGGGAACAAGATGGACGAAATACAAGTACAGGCTCTGTCTAATTTCTGGACGCCTCCAGCTGTAAACACCTTCGACAACAAAAACCTGCGATGAAACTATCCTCCAAAGAAATTCCGGTAGCAGGCTTTCCTTTCCGATTTCACTTCAGAACAAATCACACCGTGACCTTCGAGCAAATTGAGGGATCGCTCTCTAAGAAGGAGCTGAACAGCAAAGTGACAACTAGTGTTGCGTTGTTATTTTCTGTTTTCAGACATGACATTTCACATATGACAGCACGTCTGCCACAATTTGAGCCAGGAAAAGTCCTGGAAATAGATGAGAGAAGAAAGGAGATGGAAGTAAGAGAAGGAACGAGGGGAGCCGGCCGTGCCGAGCGAGAAAGCCACGGGTGGAGCTGGGGGGCACTCGGGCCCCGCTGCCCTGCAGGTGTGTATGCGCGTACGTATGCCAGGGAGAGGAGAAAAGGCTCAAGTAGCAGTTTGGCGCTGGCTGGGCGTGGGCCCGGTGGCACAGAGTGAGCAAGCCAGCGTCTGTGTGCGTGCGTGTGTGTGTGCCCACGCGCGCATTATGTTGTGGCATGCCTAACCGGATTAGAGGTGACCTGGTGGGGTCCAGTTGGTCCCGGGACCACAGCGCAGCGGTCGCGCGCGCTTTTGTTCAATAGGATTAGCCGCTACCCGGCGCCGTTACAGTTGGCGCGCGGGGTCCGAAGCGGACCGAGGCCGAGGCAGAGGGCGGCGCCGCGAGCGCGTTGGCATGCGGAACGGGATTAGGCGCTAACCTGGTGAGGTGCAGTTGGCGCTGGGCGCTCGCCAGCTGTTCGGCCAGGCTCAGGGCTTCGGCCCGCCATTGGCCGCCGTCCCTCTGGACCGCCTCCAGGCGCTGCCGGCACCCAACCAGCTCTGAGCTCAGCTTTTCCACTTCCTGTCCCGCGGAGAGACATGCTGAAAACAAGCGTGCTCGCGCGGCGGCGCAGACGCATCTCGCGTGACCTCGAGTGAACGGGGTTCCGGCTTTATTCTTGTTGATTTGCAACTCGGTCGACCAGAATAGATAAGAAAGAAACGTTGGGTTTAGTTCAGCGGGTCCCTGCGTGCACGTCTCCGGCTGCGTGCCGGCCTTTCCCATACCAGCAATTTTCATTGAAATGAACATTTTTGGCCACCTCGTATTTGTGTGCAGCCATGCGCATAAAGTGCACGGGCGTGCCAAAAGACAGCAGAATATGGGAGAAAATTCATTTCAGCATTTCGATTCAAATGGAAAAAAATCCGACACGTCGGATTCATTCAAAATTGAGAAAAATACTTTTCGGAAGGCCAATTTCCGCACGGCTCCTATCTTAAAATCATTTTGGTTGTTTTCTTAGGCGATATTATTCAGATTTCTTTCCCCAACTCCGTGAGCTCGAAGCTCCACCCGTGTATATATTTCATTGAAGATCGGGAATTATTACACTCTGTGCGTATGCGTCATAATACAAGGTATCCCCCAAAAATGTACTCCATTTTTGACCAGCCATTGCTCAGACATTCGGTTCCCATTTCGGACTTCACTGGCATAGATTCAAGTCTAACAAGTTCAAGTAATGAAAAAAAATGGACATTTCAGATCATGTCGCGGCATTTGTGAGGAGTACAAAAAAAAAGTAATGGTATCTATCTCGAATAAATATCCTAGTAAGGGCCAGCCAAGAATTGAGCATTTTGGGGATATACCCTGTTTTGGAGTTGTTTTGGGGGGGCAATACTGAAATCAATGACTTTGTTTTCCAGGTTATTCAAATGTATGGTTATGAATGTGCAAGTGAAATTGTAAGCAACCTGTGTGGAACTCTCCAGCTGCCTGTCGGTCTTGGACTTGAGGTCGCGCAGTTCTCGCTCGGCCTCGTCTTTCATGAGCTGGGCACCGCTCAGTTGACACCGGAGCTCGGCGCACACCTGCAGCCGACGCAAATGACAATTCAAATTTTCTGGAACACCGCTTTCATTTGGAACGCCACATCCATTTCGTCCATTTCTTTGAAACAACACTTTATGAACATCCACATTCGATTGTTTCAAATTCACACACACACACAAAGCACGTATGTATCTTTTGCGGGCCTTATTCAGATCATCAAATTTTGTATTCACGTGCTACTATTGCTAATGTCATTCTACGAAGCTAAGTCTCTCGCGTTAGCGTTCTCTGATCGACGATACATTGGAAGGGGTCCCCAAATTGAAATCTATTTTGGAGCCCATGCTGAATTTCTGGGTCCACGCGTGATCGTTTGAGCCAATGTAGGCTAGGCTCGAATGCCTTAATTCATTTTCCTTTGAGAAATGACCCAATTATGACCGGTCTTCGTCGTGACTGACGCAGAACCGGACACGAGAAAAGCCGGCGAAGGCGGGTGAGGCTTGGACGGAATACGGAGAAGATCATCGCTGTAGTTTTGCTGCCATCCAGTGGAATGGAGGAGGATTACCGGACGAGACAAGACCGGACGTTCGGAACCAAAGAAGAGTCGGTCGGGAGCATTGAAATGAGCCTGTGGTCATCTTGCATCAAAGAATTACGAAGCTGAGACGGTCTCAAGAAATGCGCGTACTTTGCTGTTTTCCTTTTCCACGCCGGCAAGTTGTCGCCGCGCATCTGCCAGCTGATCGGTCAGCGAGCGCTCGTCGGCGCGGACTCTGTCGAGGTGGCCCTCCAGCTCGGCGGCGCGTTGGGACAGCCAGGCCACCTGATGCACCGCACGCGCACACACACACACAGGCAAAACCTTTGGTGAAACGCATCGAGCGATGGACACTTGGAACGCGCTTCCATTTACCCGTACGTCGCTATTTTAGATGAGCTTGACTGGATCTGTTTTGGACATGGGATTCGGGGATGTTTTTGAGCAGGAAGGGGCTGCTTCCAAACCATTTGGGTTCAGAGACCTCGGCAGGTGGACATTTTTCTAAAGTCCCCCTTACAATCTCAACGGGAATCATACATAACTACCATGTGTGCTCAATGCCGTATGAATTCAAAAGTGGCCGATTTTTGAGGAAAAAACAAGTTGTTACAATAACAAAATCTTTTTTTTTTTGAGGTCTTTTGAGAATAAAGTGGATCACAAATGACAGTATCAAATGACGAAATCCAGCTCATCGTTCAAATCTCCACGCCATCATTATTTACACATAGGTTTATTTATGCCGCCGAATCGTGCGGCTCTACGTAAAGGTTGCGGTAAGGAATTCAAAAGTGGCCTATTTTTGAGAAAAAAAAAGTTGTTACAATAACAAAATATATATATTTTTTTTGAGGTCTTTTGAGAATAAAGTGGATCACAAATGACAGTATCAGATGACGAAATCCAGCTCATCATTCAAATCTCCACGCCATCATTATCTACGCATAGGTTTATTTATGCCGCCGAATCGTGCGGCTCTCACTAAAGGTTGCGGTAATACGCGAGTTGCGTTTACGGTATTCGCCAGCTCCTCCTTCTGCCGGCGACCCTCGCCGCGTCCTTCCTCCTTGGCCTCGGCCAGCTTGTCCTTGAGGGCCTGCGCGTCGCGTTGCCGCTGCGCCGTCTGCCGGGCGAGCTCCCTGGACAGCTGCTGGCACCGCACCTCCAACTGCACCGAGGCACGCAAAGAGTAGGTGCCACATCGTCGCCAGGGGTGACGGCTCATTGCGAACGGACCGGCGTTGACAGTCAGACGACCAGATAGGAAGTGGTTCCATTTTCGGATTGATCCTCACTTCGGATTTCTGTCCCTGTTCTGCTTGTTTGACTGAGAACTTTGTGGAAGTTCCAGAGAGTCTTTACCGCATGTGTTTTTTCACACGCACGCGCGCACTTGCGATGCCTTTTATTTTACTCAATCTATCTGGAAGCCATTTAGGAGATCCGCCTGAAATGATATTGGTGCGTTTTAGCTTTAAGATGTGGTACGATGACGTTTTAAACTACAGTACCAGGCTTTTTTTTGGGGGGGGTCAATTAAATATAAAACGGTTCTCACTATGCATAAAAGGGCTCTGCCTGTATTTGCAGTACAATTTCCTCCAAAGTAAATGGCAAAGGGTATTTATAATATCAATTATTCAAATAATCGTTAGTCACAGCTCAATTCTCAAGCGACTATATTCTTTCTTCAGGAGAATTTTGGGCAACTCGAGCAATCAATACAGCAGGGGACACCGTACTGCGCTGACTTTACTCACTTGGCGAGTCGGTCCACAAACTGGCCGTGCGCAGTGGCGGGAGCGCCGGCCGAGAACGCCGCCTCCTGCGCGCACTTCAGACACGAGGCGGCCACACGCGGCGCAGCGTCTGCCCGCAGCGCCGCCGCCTCCTTCTCGCTACGTCTCAGATGGCCGGTCAGTTGCTCGCACTCCTTCTGACTGAGCGCAAGATCCCGCCTGGGGGTGCAAGAGCCACAGGAGGGTGAAGGCAAGGCGGGAGATTTAAGTGACAAGAAAAAGTCCCAGGCCAACCTGTGAGAGATGACCTGAGCCTCAAGTCTTTCGATCTGGGCCTGATGCATCAACTTCAATTCTTCCTGACACACACACACACACACACGCACGCACGCACACACGCACACGCACACACACAGTTATGTGGAAATAGATATAATAAAATTTCCGATCGTTGGTAATAGTAGTGGTGCATTTGATGTGTGGCGCTCCTTTAAGGAAGTGGACAACACACTGCAATGTACTGGGACGCCGGCCTCCGTGAACAAAAGCTAAAAAGGTAATAATTACACTAAATATAGATGGAATTTAATTTTAATAAGGCTACACCTTATAAGTTTCCAACACATCAGATTAGAATGAAATAAAAGATGAATTTATCTTCTATGCCATCGCATTACCTAGCGAGTGTCGCAAAACTGTGTGCGTCTAGCGATAAAATGCACATGTGAAAATGGTGAACAGCAATGAGATGTGAGAGGAGGAGCAGGGGAACCGGGCGCTGGGGGACAAACCAGCTCATGTTTCCATGCTGTGTGATTCTCCCCTCCCTGGGGACCGGGACCGTCACCTGCCATATTTTCATGCACCTAAAAACACAAGACGGACTGTGAAAGGATGTCGGCACACTTTGGATTACAATGTGTCTACAAGTGAGCTCTTCTCAAGTTGGCCCCATTCATTTAGAACCACACCCCAAAAATCAAGCAATTTCAGCCAGAATGTGACAAGAGGATGTTGAGTGGGCTGGAATTCTTTGATTCTGATTCTGTATCAAAATCCCATTTGTGTGTTCAGCTGCCTTAGTTTTATGATGTAATGTGCGCGCGTGTGTATTTGCGTTTGCCTGTGTGTGTGTGTGTGTGCTTTACCGTGCGGTTTGAAAGGATGTGGTTGTCCTTTGGAGACACATCGACATGTTTGGTCTTGAGCTCTGCACGCAGTTTCTCATTCTCCACCACCACCACTCGGATGCGCCGTTTGAGCTCCTGCTGCTCCTCCTGTCACCCAGACACACACACACACACACACACACACACACACACACACACACACACACACACACACACACACACACACGCACACACGCACACACACACAGGCAAACGCAAATACACACGCGCGCACATTACATCATAAAACTAAGGCAGCTGAACACACAAATGGGATTTTGATACAAACTTTGCAGAATCGGACTTCAGCCTCCAGGTGTTGGATGTAGTCTGGCGGGTTTTGAGTCACTGGGACCAGGTCCTGACAACAACAAGTGGTCCAAAACAAAAACGTCATAGTAAAAAGACTGCATGTGTGTGTGTGTGTGTGTGTGTGTGTGTGTGTGTGTGTGTGTGTGTATATATATATACCTCATTCTTCAAAGTTTCTTGTTCTCTCTCTCTCACACATATATATGTATACACACACACACACACACATATACACGTGTATACAATACGGCTGTCACTGTCAAATCCTTTTTGGAATTGATCATCTGATTGAGAATTCCCTATAGTCAATAATCAAAGTCATCGGATGGACATGCACGAGATAGATGGATGGATGGATAGATTGATAGATAGATAAAACATGGTATGACATGTTGACTCCACCTTTGAAAGAGAGAGGGGAGCAGGCATATCCTTGCCCTGCTTCAACAGGAGGCTCTTCAGCTGATTGACTGTGCGGCAGCACACACACACACACACACATACACACACACACACACACACACACACACACACACACACACACACACACAAATGTATACAATACACACATACATACACACAAACACACAAAAGTGATTACAAGCCTTGAACTTTTACACTTTTAATTACCGTAACATCCATGCTAATTCCCATTAGCCTGTCTATGGTGCTTTGCTTTGTATGAGCATTAAGCTTGCAGACTTTCCTTTTTAAAAATGTCGAGAAAAAAAAATCAACTTAGGTTGAAAATGTTGGTGCTTAATATACAGCGTTTAATTCTCTTTTGTTTTGTATCAGTTTTACAGTAGCTTCCAACGTTTTGGTGCTGAGGCCAAATCCATGTCTAACACAAAGAATATTTGCTTTGGCACCATCTTCGGGCATCTTTGTGTCAAGGAACTGTGATGTGATGAGCTTGATATTCCAGTCAGGCCATAGTCTTGTCTAATTCAGAAAAAGTGCTATGTCACCATAAAATGGCATCTATCGGCAATTATAAACCTTTTTGAGTGGGCGTCAAATACTCACAAATTTTTCTTATTTGCAGCAGTGCTGCGGTCCCTGTCATTGCAATAATTATTTGTGCGTCACCTGCTTCGCTTTGTTTCTTCTGGCACCACACAGGTCGGTCCTTCTCCAATGTGGAGGCGAGGGTGCCATCACTGCCACCGCCGCATCTGATCGGCTCATCTTCCTCATCGTCATCGTGGTGGAGCTGCTCCAGAGCGTCGCTGAGCTGCTGTAGGCTTTGGTTGGCCCGCTCTGAAACGCACAAGCAGATGTTCATTATTATGCAACCTTCCATTTTCCATCGCGCTTGTAATCATTTGTGACATGGGTTCGCTGGTATCTTAAAGCACATAGCAACAATCCTGTGGGGAATTTTATGTTTGTTTGTTTGTTTTTTAAGGTGAATTATTTTTTTGAACCTGATAAAAAATGTGCTTACTGGTTTGGTAAAACATAACATGTCATTAAATGAAACATTTGGTGTTACAATTAAACGTTAAACAATATACCAAGACAACAGTATAATATTTCAATTAAATGTATTGAAAATGAAGACGTAAATTGCTCCATACAGGAACGCCACATTCAAGATTCCACCCTCAAACTTCGAGGAAGACGTTTTTACCACTATGCCACTGCAAACTACAACCACGGTTATCCACATAGAACTAAAAACCAAATGAAGCGTTATCGTTATCATAAAGGTGAGATACTGGCACAGCTACTACACTGCATCCCATTTTTTAAAAAGCAATGTGGGAGTGCCTAATTGTTATGTCCAATGTCCTGTCAGCCCTAAAGGGCAACCTGTGGCATTAACTTAGAACTGAGACTAAACGTGAGTCTATTAAATGACTATGAGACGATTTGATGTTTAAATTAGACAAAAAGAAAACACAGAGACTCAGTAAACGGAAAGATGCCTCGAGGCAAATCTGTTGAATCTTGAACGCGTTGCTAACGTGAATGCTAATTAGAATTAGCTACATTAGCGAAGACCCACAAACACAAAACAGCGTCCACTCACGCCTCAGCTGTTTCTGGTAACCATTCGGATGCTCTGCTTCCTCCTCGTCCGATTCGAAATGTTTCATTGATAGCACTTTAATGACACTCGGGGATTGAATGTTGTGATGAAACATGCGACCGAAGCCACAAGTAATAACAATTTCGAGCCGCGCGTAGCAACAGTAAAGTTGGAGTGATTGTTTTCTCGGCTCACGCGTCCCAAAAAGGCGGTGTAAATTTAGTCACGTCACCGCCCGGGCACAGTACGACAACGCCTGATAAGTGATCCAAAACAAGACAACCCTTCAAAGTCAGTGACTTCGACGGAATGCTGGGAGTTGTAGTCAGTATTCACAGTGCAAAAGGCTACTCAAATACGATCTATCTATCTATCTATCTATCTATCTATCTATCTATCTATCTATCTTTCACCATTTTAT